ATTGGTTTGGGGTTTTTGTTTGCTTATTGAGACAGAGACTGACTGAGTCTGGCCTTGAACTTACGGTGATATCCTCCTACACCAGTCTCTAGAACTGGGCTCCAGGGACAAGCCTCCACATTTAGCAGAAAGATGTCTTTTGATCAATGTGTTTATTGCTGGGAGAGAAACAGATAAACAAATCCTCTCATCTACTCCTCAAAAATGAGGACATTTCTTCAGACTCAATTCTTTTCCCTTTTTTTTTTTTTTTTTTTTTTTTTTTTGGTTTTTCGAGACAGGGTTTCTCTGTAGCTTTGGAGGCTGTCCTGGAACTCACTTTGTAGACCAGGCTGGCCTCGAACTCACAGAGATCCGCCTGCCTCTGCCACCCGAGTGCTGGGATTAAAAGCGTGCGCCACCAACGCCCGGCAATTCTTTTGCTTTTTACCCTGACTTGGAATTGAACTTAGGTCCTCATGCATGCTGGCTAAGTGCTCTACCACTGGCCAGCAGTCCAGACTCAGTTCTTAGCTATTCTCTCTCCTACTTCCCATGTTTAAAGAGCACACTCATTTCCAGATTTCACTCACCCCTACAAAATTCCTTCTAAGTCAGGTGACTTAGTGACTTTCTCCATTTGAGTGTCCCACCATCATTTCAAATATTACCTATGTAAAATCAGCTCATCTTTCCATAGTCTCAATGCTTGCTAATAATGACAATCCTTTATTGGGTTCTCTAGACTCATTTAAGTAGCTACAGTTCCCTGCCATTCACCTTTGCTCTCCCTGTAGCCATATGTCCAGACTGTTCCTTATACCCGATGGACCTTATTGGCATTCTTTTTGAAAATATTTACTTACTTTAATTTATGTGCATTCATGTGTGCCTGAATGTGTGTCTCTGCACCATGTACATGCAGCAGCCTGGGGAGGTCAAAAAGCTTTGAATCCCCTGGAACTGGAGTTACAGGCAGTTGGTAGCCACCATGTGGGTGCTGGGAATCAAATTCAGGTCCTCTGACAGAATAGCCAGTGCTTGACCACTGAGTGGTCTCTCCAGACTTCTGTTGTCATTCTTTTATGTCTTGTTCACTCTTCTTTGGGATTAGTTGTTTTATGAGTTACGACTTTTAGCTTGTGAGCCCATCTGGCACTGGGTATTCACCTGGGCAACAGCACTCTTGGTAGAGAGTGAAGGTATGCTTCCCTAACCCAGCACTCTTAAGAGTATGAGCCCCAGTGGTGATCAGCCTTTTGTTTGTTCTTCTTTTAAGACAGAGTCTCATGTAGCCCAGGCTCGCCTCAAGCTCACTGTGTAGTCTCTGTGTCCCTAGTGCTGGCACTGAAGACCTGCCATTCCACACCCAGCTGAATCTTTTGACAATTTCTTTACTTAGATTTCTTGTCCCAAGCAGATATAAGTAGTTATAATTTTTCAGAGGCAGATCCTCCTCCTTCAAAGGATCTACAGGCAGTAAACTCCCTCCCCATGCCTTTGTACTGACATTTTCCTCTCACTTTCATTCCCTTTAAAAAGGTTTGCATCGCCGGGCGTTGGTGGCGCACGCCTTTAATCCCAGCACTCGAGAGGCAGAGGCAGGCGGATCACTGTGAGTTCGAGACCAGCCTGGTCTACCAAGCGAGTTCCAGGACAGCCTCCAAAGCCACAGGGAAACCCTGTCTCGAAAAACCAAAAAAAAAATAAAAATAAAAAATAAAAAGGTTTGCATCTATCTATCTATCTATCTGTCTATCTATCATTTATCTACCATCTATCCATCCATCTATCATCTATCCACCCATATATCTATCATCTATCTACCAATCATCTATCCATCCATCTATCTATCATCTATCTATCATCCATCCATCTATCCGTCTATCTATCTATCATCTATCTATCTATCTATCTATTTATCTATCATCTGTCTGCATGGAACTAACCCAAGGCCTCTTGCAAGCTCTGAAAGCACTCTATCCACTGAGCTACATCCTCAAAAACAAACGAAATTGCATGCATAAAGGCTAGAGAGATGGCTAGGTAGTTAAAAGCACTTGTTATTGGAATGGACCTGAGTTCAGTTTCCAGAACCCTCATGGCAGCTCATAACCACCTGTAACTCCACCTCTAGGGAGCTCATGCCCTCTTCTGGCCACTGAGGGCATATACATTATGAGGCTAAAGCCTTCCATATCTGAGTTTGTCTTCCTCCACCATCTCTTTATCCTCTCCCTTCCCAGTCTAATACCCGAATATTTTACCTTTGAGCTCCTTCTGGGGTGGAAACCTTGTTTGACCCACACATGCGACCTCCATCTCACCAATTCACTTAAAGATTTAATCACTGTTCTGTTCTGACTAGTTCACAAAAGAAGAGAAGGAAGTTGCCAGAGATTATGAAGCTGGGAAAGATGGAGAGATTCGAAGAGGCAAGATAGAGGCCCTGACACAACGGTGGGATCCTGAGAATAGGACCTTACCTCGGACCAGTTGGGACCTGCCTGATTCTTAATTCACAATCCCCTGCCTTGCCTTGGCCTTGGGAGCTCTAGATGTGTTTGTCACTGAACTCTCTCTTTCTCTCTCTTTTGGTTTCTATGGCCCACATGGAGTGGGATTCACATTTTTAGAACAGTGGTTCCCATAACAACCAAGCAGGAACTGTTGTCTGTGAAATATAGCATGGTCACACATGCGCACATGCACATATGTATGCACATGTGGGAATACATTTGTGTACTTATGTGCATAAGGACAGCACAGCTACTTTCACATACACACATGCACATTCATATGCACACATAACCATGCACTCACAAATACACACATGCATCTGTATATAGTCATAGGTGTATATCTCCACATCCATACAAATCCGTGTGTACACATACACAGAACACTCCGTACCATAGGTTGTTTTCATATGTTCACAGCAAGCACAGAATAAGGGCAGGGTCACAACAAAGAAACCAGGATGATACAGAGATACTTTTGGTTAGCTACAAAAGCAGGTGAAATAATCAAGTCTGCATTTGGACAGAAGCAGGCTCAGGAAAGTATGTAGCAATGAGATTGCATGAGGATGCTGTGGTTTGATCAGAGGATGATGGATTGAGTATTTTGCATTCAAATTCTGGTCCTGCCATTCATCAAACTCTGAACTTTAGCTTCTCCATCTGCAGAAGTGGGTGCATTTTATCATTTCTGTGACAAAAACCCTGACGTGAGCAACTTAAGGCAGGAAGGGTTTATTTTGCCTCACCATTTGATGGGACACAGCCCAGTATGTCCGGGAAAGCACGGTGGTGGCAATATTTGGCACCTGGTCACATTGTGTCCCCAGTGAGGAAGCAGACAGCAGTAAATGCTGGTGTTTAACTCACTTCCTCCTTTTTATTCAGTTTGGGACCTCCGGGCTTGGTGCTGCCCACAAGGAAGGGTCTTCTCAGTTAACCCCTCTTCCAAGCTCCCTTTCAGACAGACCCACAGGTGATTACAAGCCCAGTCAAGTTGACAGAGAGGGTGTACCATTACAGTGGGGATAAATATCGTCTCTGGAACTAGAAAGATGGCTCAGTGGTTAAGAGCACTGGCTATTCTTCCAGAGGACCAGGGATGAGTTCCCAGCATGCACATGGCAGCTCACAACTGTAACTACAGTTCCAGAGTACCTAATACCCTCATAAGACACACATGCAGGCAAAATACCAATGTACATAAATAAAAAAATTAAAAATGAAAAGAATAGTTTCTGCTTGGTTACTCTATGGGAAAGTAAATGATGTGTAGTAAGATAATTAGCATGATCACGATGCCTGGCTCCTGACTGACAGGAACTTACTTAAGTCTTAGAAGAAGTGATTTCCCTTATCAATCTAAGAAGACTCCCTAAAGGTGGAAAGTCATTAGAGCTCCTGGAAGAAAAAGAGAGGGTACTTTATCTGTTCGGCCACCGTACAATTCTTGCTAGATTTATCCTTCCCCCAAACCACCTGGCAAGACTGTCAACCCTGTCCCATACTGCACGTCCTCGGGGCCTCTGCCCTCAGGAGTGGGATGGCGTCAGTGGAAGTCATCCAAAGCCTCCAATTTACTGAAGAGTCCTGGAGCTATGTTGGCTTTTTCCTGGGCTGCAGGCCCTGCGCAGCCCTGCTGAGGCACCACTCTGTGGTAGAAGTGTCACCTCCCTTTTCCTCTTCCAAAGCTCAGTCCAGCCCTGGCCTGGCTCTGAATCCCAAGGAGTTGTTTTTTTGTTTTTTTCCTTCCCCAGCTCAGCTTCAGCCCTGAGGACTTCCTCTAGCCTAGGACAGCTAGACTGTGCCTACCTCAGCAGCTAGGTAGGCCTGAAGCCAAGGGTGAGGGGCCTTCTAGATGCTTCAGGCTCAGGAATTCTGGGGCCTATCCTATGGAAGTGGTGGGTTTGTCTGGAACAAACTAGTACATATTCCCTGCTTCTTTCTATTTGTAGGTCCTGAAAAGGGTGGGGAGTGACACTCTAAAGTGCAACAATAGGTCCGGAACACAATACAGTGTGGTCCAGCCACAGCCAACTCTTCCCAGAGACCACACCTCTGACCTGAAGTCACAGTGCACGACCAGTATTGGGACACCCTGCCCATACTTGGGCTCACAGCCCAAGAGGCCGCTAAAGAACTGTGATGTGTGTGTTGTAGCGCCCATGCCAACCTCTTTTTCCCGTTCTTCAGGATCAGGCATCCAAGATGTGCTCCCCACTGGGTGCAGGCCAAGCCCACGGGGTGGGTTTGGGTGGATAGGCTCTGTTTAAAGGTGGGCGGCAGAGGCCACAGCTGGAATTTCCGAGGCACAGGAATACCTAGCTGGTGGTCCCTAGAGTGGGGTTAGGCTGCACCCCACGCTCCGGCGACACCCATCCCCCACCCGAGCCACCAGCTTCTGCGGAAAACGTGGGGTCCCTGGCGCAGCCGCTTCTGGCTGCATCTGCCGCTCCCCGCTTGCTGGAGAGCCCGCCCCGGAGGAGGGGCCGACTCCGCCCCACCTCCCCGCCGCCTCCCTCCCTGTCTCCTGGCTGCGCCCCGGCTGAGCGCCCCCTCCTCTCTTCCCCTCCTCCAGGCGTACCCCGCCCGTGATCGCATCGCGAGCCCCTCCCGCTGCGACGGGCTGGGGGACTCGGCCGCCCCCGCCCCAACTGGGAGGCGGCGGCGGCCACCCTAGGCAGCAGTGGGGACCGAGATCCGAGGCCCGGAGGCGGCCCTGCTTCTGGACCGGGCACGCGGGGTCTGTGCCTCTGCGCCCCAGCCCAGGGCCGCGGTGGCTTGCCTTGCCACTGACTGGAGGAGGTAAGGGCAAGTCTGGGGCGCGCTGCGGGACTGCTCTTGGAGAGGCTAGACAGGGAGGACCTCAGCCGCTGCACCCTCCTCCCCTGCCTTCTTTCCGGTTGCCCTCCTGAGGCCGCGAGGCCGCTAGAACAGGGAGGGATTCTGGGCAGGCTAGGCTCTAGGCAGCCAAGGGGTTAATTTAAGGAATTAAAATCAAAACGGTTTTGAGACCAGGCTTCCCCTCCCCCTCCCGCCTGTCGCTGCCCTAGCCTTGTTGGGGGGCGGGGGCGGGCTCCAGAAAAAAAACCCACTGGGACTCTGGACTTTGGAGAGGGAGAAGGGGGAGTGCCCTGAAACCCCAGCCTTCTCCACCTGCTGGTGAAGGAGTGGGGGAGGGTCTCGGTCCCGAGGCCTGGCTGAGCACCTGTACGGTTGTCGGTGCGTGCCGGTGTGCACGTGTGATCATCTGGAGGTGTCCATATGTGTGCACGCATGTTTCTGCCCCCCCCACACCCCAGTGCCTTTGCGGGTGACTGTGCCCAGTGTTTCTGGAGGTGTGGGCTCCACTCCATTGCCTTGCATGTGTGTGTGGTACTGTGCCTGTGTGCACTGCCGACAGTCTGCCTAGGGAATCGAGTGAGGCCTGTCCCCTCCCTTTGGTTGGGCCTGCGGTGAGGGGCTCTTATGATTTTCCGGCTGTGGGATCCAGGTGCTGGAGTCTGTGTGTGTGACCTTGGGAGGCGTGTGCATGTTTGCAGGACCACGAGAAGGGGTTGCATAGAACAGAAAGGCAGGGTGGGGGGTGGCCAGGAAGCAGAAGACTGGCTGTGTTGACAACTGTGGGTCTTTACTAGGCTGAGGGACTGTTCTGCAGGCACCCAGTTTGGGGCTATAGCTGCAGAGCCGAGGCCCGGGCTTCTTGGAGGGTTGGAGGGATTTAGGCAAGCAGGACATTCCTTTATTCTCCACCCACCGGGGCATAATGGGGGTATAATGTGGACACCTCTTGCTGCCTCTTCATCCCCAGAATGCCTCCACCTGCTGGCAGAGGCCTCCTGAAAACACCTAGTTTAGAGCTTTTTGGGCTTCTAAGTCCAACACCCAACCCTCCCTCCCACATTTGTTTGATTTCCATCTTCTCTGCTTCTTTCCTCTGTGGGTTTTACAAGGAAGGAGGATGGGAAATGCTCTTGGGCCCTGAAGGCCAAGTGGGAGGGAGTGAAGATGCCATGGGTAGGTCAGGCAGGAAACTGGGGACCGGATGGAGAAATAACCCAAAAACAACAAACTATGTTAGTTTTTCAATTGATCAGAATGTAACTGGTAGGATAGGGGACAGAGAGCTGTGATGAGTACATATTTGTTCCTACACTTAGGAGTGCTTAGCTTTTAGGGAGAGAGTATTTGTAAGGGGTGGTAAAGGTTGTCAAAATGTAGTAGTTATCTTGCCTCTGTGTTTCCCTAGAACTTCCTTCTCTGAGAAAGCTTTGTATATTCAAGAGCCAGTGTGGGCCCATCTTCCTGCAAACATTTCAGGATTGGTACAAACACCCTACTCTCAGCCAGAAGAAATGCAGCACAGAATATGAGTCAGGCAGGAAGTACAGTGTTCAAATCCTTGTTTGTCAGTGTTTTAGTTACTCAATACTGTGTAGCAAATACCCCCAGAATTTAGAAACTTTGAGTAGCAATTATTTATTTACTTATTTCAGTGCTGATAATTGAACTAAGGACCTTGCACATACTAGGCAAATGATCTACTATTGGGCTTAAAGCTGCAATCTGCCTGTCTTACAATTAACTAGGATTCCAGGTGTGTCACCACTAGCACTGACACTTTTCTTGTGGTCCACGAATCACCCGTGGCTGTGGCTACAGGATCTGAGGATCTCACCTGGAATCATGCACGTACACATCCTCTCAAGGTGGCCTCTCAGCTCCCAGGACCCCTTCCACAATAGCCTCAGATAATTCTGGACAACTGGGATCTAGCAGCTGGATCCCAAGACTCAATAAGGGGGACTGTTCCAAGATGACACGTCCTGATGTACAACAGCTTATCTGATTAGTGCCTGCACGAAGCTTGCTGATGTCCATTTGGCCTACAGTCATTGTAGGAGAGAAACACATAGGAGCAAAACTAGAAGACTTGATTCATCAGAGGTCCTCAGCATCAATTTGTTACAGGTCTTTACTGGCCACGGGCACATGATTTTTTGACCAACCTGAGCCTTAGCTTCCTCATTCCAGCATTGAAGCATTCCACACCTTAGTAGCATTATTGTGAGCACAATGATGTACCAGAAATAATTAGTAGATAGATGTAGGTTCACTGTTTTTATTAAACACAGGCGCCTTTGGGCCTCGGTCATGACTCTTGATATTTTGCACTGGGCACATGACATAGAATAAAGTGGGTGATCACAAAACCTCGGAGCTCAATTAGAGCAAACCATAGGGATGAGAAGACACAGTGAGTTCTGATCTCCTGGTAAGTGACTAGGGAGTCATCCTGCTTTATAAGTTATTTCTTTGATTTGCTTAGCTAGTTTATCTAGGTGCATGATGGTAAGTGTCAAAAATTGTTTTGGTTGGGCACTAGAGAGATGGCTATTCAGTTGAGAGAACTTGCTACTCTTGCAGATGACCTGGGTTGGGTTCCCAGAACCCGTATGATGACCCACAATTGTTTGGAACTCCAGTCCCAAGAGATTGAATGCCCTCTTCTGATCAGAAATGCACATACATAATACAGGCAAAACACACCTGAAACAAAAATAAATTCTAAAAATTCATTTTAGAAAATTGCTTCGGGTGCATGGAATTCATAATTTGGTAATTCCGCTAATAGTGTACTAGTGTACACTCTGTGAGGATGGTCACTTGTAGTGTTTCTGCCTGTGGTATATAAGCAGTGAGGGATCCGAGGTAGCTGCAGGTCAATGATCCCCAGCTGTGGGACCTGCTGTCTTTGAGAGGTTAGAGTGAGGAGGGACTTGTGCTATGATAGGGATTGTGGAGGAGGAGGGTGTCAGGGAAAGGCTTTATGGAAAAGGTGGCATTTGCGCTGGGTCTACAAATTTCACCAACTGGAGAACAGAGTCCCAAGAAGGGAGACTGGCGTGAGCCTAGACTTTAGGGTGCGAAGGGTCCAGTGCTTTCCAGTGAAGCAGAACCCTCATGGAGCTTGTGGACAGTATGTGTGGAACAGGAGCAGAGACAAAAGCGGGTGCTGGTCAGATCGAGCCACCCCTGAAGACAAGCTGGCAGGTGTACTTCACCTCTGATGGGCTAGGCTGAGAATCACTCTCGTGTGTTGAGTGCTTGTCTACCATGCACCAAGCCCTGAGTTTGATCGCTAGTAATATCCCAGCACCCAGGAGGTGGAAGCAGGAGGATCAAAAGTTCAAGACTGTCCTCGGTTACACAGCAAGTTTGAGACCAGCCTGGGCTACATAAGAACCTATGTCAAAGAAGGAGAAGGAAGAGGCCATTCATTCTTCAGAGATTATTTTACTTGTTATTTGTTTTCGTTATTCTTCTTTGCGTGTGTGAGATGTGTGTATACAGTCATGTATGTGTACGTGTGTTACATGTTAACTGTTTTGTTTTTGTTTTAAGCACACAGGGTCTCTTACTGAATCTAGGCTCACTAGTTTGGCTAGGCAGGATGGCCATTGATTTACAGCGATCCTTTCTTCTCTGCCTGCCTCCACAGTTCTGGTATTATAGATGCACTCTGCCACACTGAACTTTTCGTGTGAGGATCTGAATTCAGGCCTTCATGCTCCTGCAACAAGCACTTCTCCACAGCCCCTATTTTACATTATGAGGCTTGTCAGATAAGTGAGTTGGAGCCCACACTAGAGGTCTGCACAGCAACAGTGCCTATAGGAAAAGAAAGTTGACTGTTCAGTGAGTTGTACAAGGAGCCCAGAGGTGAGTCGCTGTCCAGGGTGCTGAGTATATAACGAGGCTGTGGGTTGAGAAGTCTAAGAAGGGCAGGTTTTAGAATGTGTATACTGGCATTGTGAGTGTAGTGTTAGCCACTTTAAGCTTTTGGCTGCCAGCACTGAAATAGAACCCATTTCATTCTCTACTGATTCCTTATAAATTCATTTTGAGTTTAACAAAAAAGAAGAAAAGAGGAAGGAAGGGCTCCTTAGCTGGTTTCAGTCCCAAGGCCTTCTTTCTTTCTCTGACCTGTGGAAGTAGGTTATCTCTAAGATGTTCAATCTCTCTAACCTTAAAAAAAGTGCTCCTGGATTCTCCCACACCGCCTCCTTCCCCGCACACCTCAGGCCACAGCATCCGGGCTCATTAAAGCAGCCACCTTAGCGGTGGGCCCACCTCAGCTCCAGTGCTCTGTGAGCTTGCCCACCCCTTCCGGATCAATGACATCTGCACCTCCCAAGTCTCCTGCCGGAACTCCTGTTTCTGCTGTTGGCTCTTAGGAATTCCTGGGCCCTTCCCTCTCCTCTGTCTCTAGGAGGTTTTCCATCTCCCCTCCACCTTCTGCTCCTTCTCTACATTGCCACCCTAAGCTTGCTTTTCCAGAATGGTTTTTGTTTTTAATGTGTAGGTTTGGGGCTGGAGAGATGGCTAAGTGGTTAAGAGCGCTTGTTGCTCTGCAGATAGCCCGCCCACATGGCAGCTCACAGCCATCCGTAGCTACAGTTCCAGGGGATCTTACGCCCCCTTCTGGCCTCCAAGGATACTGCACACACATGGTGTGCTGATGCATATTCAGGCAAGACACACTCATACACATAAAATAGAAATAAGTAAGCCTAATTGTTTTGTTTTTTCAAGACAGGGTTTCTCTGTGTAGCCCTGGTGGCTGTGCTGGAACTTGCTCTGTAGACCAGCCTGGCCTTGAACTCACAGATTCACTTACCTCTGCCTCCCAAGTGCTGGGATTAAAAGCATTCACCACCACTGCTTAGTTTCAGCCTAATTTTAAAAAAATACGTAAGTTAAATAGAATTTTGAGACATGTTTTTATGTAGCTTCTGCTAGCC